GGGGGGGGTGTCTCCCCGCCCCCCTGTGCCGGTGACCTTGGGCACGGTGCGGCGCCCCGGGCGCTCCCCGCGGCTGCGGGGTCCCCCGTTTCCCCGCGGCGGTCACCGCCACCGCCGGGCAGGGGCTGGCGCCCTCCCGCGCCGCTGCCCGGCTTTGTTCTCCCCGCCGGGGCAGGAGGCACCATTATAAATAAATAAATACAACGATTACTTTTTTTTTTTTTTAACTGTTGTCATTGTACACAGGAAATAGGACGTTCTAGATTTCCTGTCATTTTTAACCACAAACCAGCGGTTCTCTAATGCAGATTAGCACAATTCACACAGACTAAGCAAACGCCTCAAAATAAAAAAAAAATAAAGAAAAACCTGCAGACATCTTTCCCCGTCCCCCTTCCACGCTGCCAGGCGTTCACCCGCCGCCCGCGTGCCCACCGAAACACGGGGGGAAACCGGGGGGAAGGCAGGGGAAGGAGGAAAAGGGGGTGTTCGCTCTCCCCGGTTGCCGCGGGAGGGGAAGCGACCCCGCAGCGGGCGCCCCCCGGCCCGCACGGCCGGCTGCACGCCTCTGCCCGGGCAGGAGACCTTAGCAAGTCATCCACTTGTGATGTTCAAAGAGCTTGCCTACAGGAAAGATTGAGTTCTTTGCAAAAGGCTCTTCCTCGGCTCGGCGCCGGGGGTGAGGTGGGGAACGGGGGCGGCAAGGACGGACCCGTCCGTCGGGGCCGGGGGCTCGGCGGCGCGGCCGCCCCTGCGCTCCCGGGGCGAGAGGTGGGGGGGTGGCTCGCCTCGCCCTGCCCCGCTCTCTCCTCGTCCTCGGGCTGGCTCCCTGCTCCGGTCCCGGTGCCAGGTTGGGTGACTTTGCAACTGCACGCCCGGCCGGGCGTCCTGCAGGCGCCGGGCTGTGCACAGGCAAAACGAAAAACCTGCCCCGACCCAGCTCCGCACCTCGGGGCGGCCGAGGGCCCTCAGGGCTGGTCCCCGCTCCGCGCCGGGGGGCAGAAGAAAAGGGGAAGGGGCCAGCCCGGCCGCGGCCCCGACGTGTCCCCGGAGAGCCAAGGGTTAACGCGGGCTCGCTTTTCCCGAGCAGCCCTCCTTTCACATTGCATCAAAGTCCTTTAAAGCTGTTTCTCTTCCCTCCTCCCCTCCCCGGCTGGAAAGACGCTTTATCCATGCATGCTAAGTAAACAGATCTTTGTTTTCGTCTTCCACCCACTGCCCTCTTTCTCCAGCCCGAAGCTGGAGCCTCGCCAAGCCGGCTGCAGCGATTGCTGCCTCCACACACACACACACTCACACACACACACACTCACACACATACGGGGGAAGAAGCCGGGTTTCTCGGGTGAGGCAATGCGCCTGCAATTGGCAGGGACAAGGCAGGAATTGTAATTGCACTTCATCATGTGATGGCTTATGAAAGAGGAAGTTTGGATGTTTTAGTCACGTACTCCTTTGCCCTCTTGCTTTAGCCTCCAGGTTCTGCGAAGGAAAAAATTACATATATTTATATATACTGGTGGAAAGCCAAGAAACAGTGTGTTTGCACATTTCAGATCATGAAGCAGAGCTGGAGTGCGAGCTGAGTGAGGCTGCAGGGGAGGAAGAAAGCAGAGCTTTCAGCTGTGGCAGGCTTTTAACTGCAGGACAGAAAATGTGATCTGTATTTATTTTCCTTTATTTCTAATGAAAACTAGCTGCTTGGAAAAATCGAGATGAGCGGTATTCAGGTTTTGCCGCATTTGCTGCCTTTGAATTCATTCGGGTGGAAAAGGCAAAAAAAAAAAAAGTTACTGAGCTCAATGTCAAAAAGCTGATAAAAAACAGTGGCAGTGCTACATAGGAAATGTGGTTTATGTATCAAATCACAAAAAAAAAGTCCTCAAAGCTGCTGACTGTTACAGCAGTAACTGCACAGGAATCGAAGAGATAATGCATTTGGTTCTTGTTCCTTTTTCTTTTTTTTTTTTTTTTGGAAACAGAAGCCATCCTTCTGTGCCCTATCTTTGCGTCTTTGCGAAACGCCCCTTGCTATGACACGCCAACGTTGTAGATAAGAGCAGTGTGTGCTGGAGGACACGTGATGGGACCGGGGCAGTGCCTGGCTGAGGAGCACCATGGATGGGGGCCCAGCATGGTGTGGGAGGCCCTTGTTGTGCCCAATGTCATGGTTGAGGGCAGGAAGGGAGAGGAGAGGCTGGAGCAGGACAGCTCTTTAAGATGAACTCTGACTGCCACCCGCACATCAATGCCACGGCGAGCCCCTTCCCACCCAGTGTTGTTTGGCATTTTTCACTGCACCACACTGAGCTCTTGCTGTGTTTCTCTGCTGTTTCCTCCCCATGGGGTCCCATTTCCCTTCCCAAATTTCCCCTGCGCTGGTGGCAGTGATTGAATGCAGCCCCTTGTCCCCCCACCCCTCTGAGCTGTGCCCCCAGCCTGTGCTTCACCCACCTGCCCACCCTCCGTGGTGTCCACTCTTCCTTCTGTGTCCAAATCAGTGCTCCTCACCTCCTCCCCTGTTTCCTCAGCATTCCCCTTCCCCTCCCTCCCGATCGAGGGCTGCCCCACAAACTCATCCTGCAGATACATGTTGTTTCCTCCATGGGTCTTACTTGCATCCCTGTTGGGCAGAGGTCCCTCAGGCACCAAAGCGGGCAGAGCAAGGATGGGAAGGGAGATTATGGTGGAGGAAGCCACCACTTCTTCTTCTTTGATCTGTAATGGATTATGGAGGGTGCTATCCCAGAACTGGGAGTGGAGAGATTGGGAACTGTCCTTGGAGGTTTGGATTTGGTCAGATGCAGCTGGTTTTGGGGCATGGAGCCCACCAAAGCAGTGCCATTGTGGCTGAAAGCAAGCCCTGTGGAAAGCTGACAGCAGATTACAGCTTTCACCAGTGCCCAGCCAGGAGTTTGGTCACTATTTGTTATAATGTTCATAGAGTCTCTGCTGAGAGGAGAGTTCAGGTAGGAAGAGAGGGGCTTTGCTTCAACTCCCAGTTGCCTCCTGATTGAAAATGGCATCTTTGCCATTTTCATTCCTACTGAAGATGGCACGTTACTCCAGAGGATTTTTCAGAGAGCTGAATGAACCCAGGTTTCAGTTGCTCCTTGCCTAGGTGAGGATTATGGGATTTTTGCCAAACAGTTCAGAAGCCCCTAAAGCAACTGCCGAATCTTGCTTGTAGACAGCTGCTCATGTTTGCCTGCAAGAGTGAGCTACAGGTAGCCATTTTAGAAACACTGAAACTTTTTATTTTCATTGAAAATGATCCATCATTTTGAAAGTGAATCCAGTGAATCCATCCCTGCACACACACACGCATTTTAGGTATGAATTTTAAGATGTACAATACAAACAGCAGTTCAGGCGATGTCTTGCTTTCACTTTGATGCTGGTCCCAAAGCCAGCCTCGTGGCACACTGAAAAGAGAAAAACCTTAGAGAAAAAGAAAAATCCCCATCTGATAATGTTTTCTTTAGTGCCATAGGAAAAAAAAACAAAACAGAAAGATACTGATGCAAACAAGAGTATCATCAAGCACAGCCTGTTGACATAAATAGGCTTTGGACAGGCTCATGGTAAGCCACTGATCCTGCAGATGTTTACAGCCACTTATAACTTTATTCAGAGGAGCATCACTATGAATATAAAGCCACGTGCGCTTACATGCTGGCAGGACTGTGTCAAACGCCACTGCTTGGTGTTAACTTCTGGAGAGCTGTGAGGCACCACCTAAGCAGAGCCTGCCTAGACAAGGAAGCAGCAGCAGGACACTGGTGTGCCATTAGTTTTTAGGACAGGGGAAATGGATCGAGTTACACCAGAGGAGGTTTAGATTGGATATAAGGAAAAATTTCTACACCAAAAGGGTTATCAAACATTGGAACAGGCTGCCCAGGGAAGTGGTGGAATCGCTGTCCCTGCAGGTATTTAAAAGACGTGGTGCTGAGGGACATGGTTTAGTGATGGTTTTGTCAGTGGTTGACAGGTTGATCAAACAGGTTGATGGTTGGACTCGATGACCTTCTAACCTAGAGAGTTCTATGATTCTATGATTCTAGTTCACAGATATTTTCTGAAATACGGAAATGCTATTTATGCTGCTGTTCTGCTGTGATTTTTCACTCTAGAAAGTTCAGGCAGGGCTAGTTACTGGGAAGTCACAGTGCTAGCAAAAGCCTGGGTGCCACAGCTTCTGCTCCATTGGTGGGCTCTACCCTAGGCTGTTTGGAGCAAAAATTGCACGCTTTCTTTAAAAAAGGAAACAATTCTGTTTCTAACTGAGCAGTTGACTTTACGCCCTCTTTTCAAGTAACAGTAGAAAAAAAAAAGCAGCGAGGAAAAGATCATGGAAATACTTGGGAAATTCAGAGGTTACTACCCTCCGAAGAGAAATAAAAACTTCAGAGAGATACTTCCAGATGCCAGAAGAAAGGGCAATTGATGTGGAAAGGCTTCCGCCCCTTGTCCCCAGGCTGGGTAAATAGGCATGTCGGGTTATCCCATTTACACCCCGCCTTGGTGCTCTGCCTTGCGAGCCACAGTCGGCAATTGTCTGCGGCCACGGCAAGGGGGGCAGGAATGCGGTGGCCGGGGGCTTCCTGGGGCGCAGGCAGAGCGGCCGGCCGGCCGGGTGACCCCTTCCCAAAATAAACAGGAAGCCTGGGAAGCCATGACCCCTCCGCGACATCGCGCCGGCTCTGTTCCCTGCCTCCTGCGCGGGGGCCGAGAGGCTTCCAAGTACCCTCCGAAAACGGGACCGGGGCGAGGGCTTCACAGGAAATGTTACAAAATAAGATCGTCTGTTGAAAAAATTACAGAGGGCTTTAAAATTCCTTCTGTTTAAGCCCCCGGATAGTCATATTCCTCACTGGTGCTTCATCCCTTAGAGCCCATGGCGACACAGTGGGCAAAGAAGGGGCACAGCTTCCCCTTCTGCACGGGGTGAAGGGCAGGAGTGCCTGAGCAGGGCAAGAAGAGGAGCCCCAGGGAGGATGTGCCAAGGGGCTTCTCGGCTGGGCTGGGAGCTCAGGCTGGGAAACTCTTTTTCCCTGCTTGGGGGAGTTGGCGGTGAGGTCCTCACATTAAATAAAAGTCAAAACTGAGGCGCAGACCTTCTCGAAGCCTGGGCCAGAGCCATTAAAGTTGTTTCCAGCGTGGGTGTTCCTGCATTGCCAAAATGTCCCCCCGAAGCAGCAAACTGGTGCTTGCTGACAGCTCCAGCTGGCAAGTCATCTCCCAGGCCTGCCAGAAGAGCTGGCCATCCCTAAAGACCTCCCTGCCTCAGCAGCCGCCAGCCACAGTTTGGGGCAGGACAGGACCACCGCTGGTGGGGGAGGCAGCCCAGCTGAAGGTAGTGTTTGCTGCTGCTGCTGACCATAAGGTTTCCTGCCAGTGCTGGCAGCTTTGTAATCCCACTTTTCTGCTCGCCTGGGGGTCCCCTTGTCCTCCCCAGAGGGCATGGGTGCCTGGAAGGGCTGAGGGCTCTGGGGGACAGGCGCTGATGGGTTTGGTCTCCACGCTAGTTCAAAGAGACTTGAAGGGGGAGAAAAAAGGGGAGATGGATTCCATCTCTGATTACCTAGCAATTGCTAGGGTTTTATAGTTACCAAACTACAAAAGTTTTGGTAGCTTGCTACCAAGCTACAAGCTGGGTAGCAAGACCACCACGCTGGTGCCCTTCGTGCTCATGCTCCTGTGCTCCCCCCACCTCAGGGAAACTGCTCTTCAGGGGAAACAGTACAACATATGGAGAGACGTGCAGCTGCTACAGGGGCGTCTCTTGAGCAGCCCACTCTTCCCTCGTGAGGAATTTCGGGCATTGGCACGCAAAGGCTGTGAGCCAGTGCGTTAGGATGCAGCCTTGGTTTGTTCCAGGCATGTTGAGATACGATGGAAGTGCCCACATTTCCACCAGTCATTGTAGCTATATTATTTCAATTTTGCAACGTAACAAGAGTTAACAGAAGCGTGTCCAAATCCAAGAAAACACAAACGCAAATGAAATGTGTTTCTGTCCCCCCTGGCACTACCTCTCATTCCTCTCCCTTGCTTTCTTCCAGATGCCCACCAAGCAGTGTCCCTCCTCTGTGGGAGCCCCTGAGGGAGTGCTCTGGCCAGTCAGAGCCGGGGAAATGCTCTTTGCTGTGCTTCAGCCTCTAGCCTTACCATTTTGCTCACTGCTGTTTAATATGCTAAGTAAAAACAAGTAAAAGAGGGTATTTTTATCTACTAGTACATTCTGTCATATGTGTAGTATACTACTGTGTAGCAATGCTGAGGAGCAATACTTACAAGTTTAGGCATTAATGATGCATTTGTAAACTTAAACAGCAGAAATGTATTGCATTACCTCATCCTGTCCACTTGTACTTTCAGGCAAAAAAATCACGCGTTTCCCTTTTCCAGGCACCTACATCCCTCCTGTTCATGCTGAGCTCCAGAAAGTGGTGCCTGCTAGGAAGTACAGTTGAGTTCATATTTGATAAAAAGAACACCAACACCATTAATAAGAGGTAGACCTGTGCCGGAGCTGGCAATTAAACTCAGTCTCCTCCTCCGAATTTCAGCCATTAAAGGAACTTGCCCAAGGCTGGGACTTGTGTATCACTTAGTCTCCCAAATGGGACTAGACGAAGGACTGAGGACCAGTTCTCTTTGTAATGGGACCTGCTGAGGTCCTTACGTCATGCCCGAGGAATGGTCAGGCTGGTGAGCTTGCTGGGGCAGCAGCAGCCACCACTGGCTGCTCATTCAGGGGTCTCGCACGTGGGCTTGGAAGGTGCCAGACAGGTGTCCCTCAACAACCCTCTCCCTAACACCTCTCACCACAGTTTCAACACACAGTCCATGATGATCAGGAGCACCACGCAGCTGCCTCTTTGCTCCATGATCTTCTTGGAGAGTCCTTTAGAGGCTGTGCCAACAGCAGCTGGCTTGGAGGACATCGCTGTCGTTTTGTGTCAGACCCCATGGCACACCATGGGAGCTTGCTGAGATGTGGGCAGCCATGTCCACACCTCCTTTAAACCCGCCCTGGAGAGAGCAAACACAGGGAAAAACCACACCAGTGTGAACTTCAGCAAGGACTAGTGACCTAGTGCTGACCAGGGCCCCTCCAGTTTGTCTCCCTGGCCATGGTGAAGACATAGCTCAAGAGTCAGATGAAGGTCCTATGCTTCACTTCCAATATCCCCTGCACAGCCTCAGAGTTGAGTAACTTCTGGATATCACAAATCTGAGAAGAGTTTCAATGGCTGATTCAGAGGCAAGAGGATGATCACCTTCATCATCCATTTTCCCTGTGCCAGTTACTATTATTGTTAACTGCCGTTCCACACACATTGTAATTAAGTGGAAAAAATACAGACCAAATGAAAAAGGGTATGTACGAGCCTCTCAAAAACATCTCTGCGCTAGCTGCAGCCTGACTCAGCCTTCAATTAACATTCTTACTTAAAATAGTTTTGTTATACGGCTTTTGTTAAATCTGACATAACAGCAGGCCAAATCACCGCCCCAGAGCGCCACGCTGAAGAGAGGAGCTCAGCACTGGTCTCCTGGGCACCATCTCATCCTGTCTTCGATCCAGATGGCCTTGGATGTGGGTGAGCTACCAGAGGAGAGCGGGCAGTACACCTGCGGCTCTGCCTTGGCAGGCACATTGAACGGGCACTGCCACCAAAAGAAGTGATCCCACTCTCCCCCACCACGGCTGCTGGGTTCTGCCCAGCGATGCCCTCTGGAGCATACCCAGCAGTGCCCCCGTGCCCCCATCCCGCTGCTCCGGGGGTGCTGCTGGGGCAAAAGGGAGCAGGTTGGGATGGGTGGCCAGGGAAGGACCTCAGCAGTGGCATTGGTTTGCAGCTGCCACAGGAGACTCATGCTACACCCACACCCATCCCATCACCTGCTGCCAGCTATGACACTCCTCCTCGAGCTACCAGAGGGGATGCGGTCATGGGCCAGCAGGGCTTGCTAGGGACACCAGGTCACTCTGGAGATGGTTTTGATTTCCTGCCAGGGCCTGAGGAGCTTGAGAGCTGGGCTCCATCTCCTGCAGAGTGGGATGGCAACCCTGCCTCCATCACCACTACGGGTAACGTGGGGAAACCTCTGCACAGGGCTCCTCCTCTTCACTGCAGAGGGACGTCCTAATGGCTCCATACTATTATAAAAGAGTGTTTTTTTCTTGGTTGTTCTTATTGGGCCTTGCTTTTAACTGTTACGGAACATGCTCTTTGTGTGTGTGTGTGTGCCTTTATGTGTGTGCCCACAGAATATAAAATTCCAGCATTTGTATTAAAATGTGGAAAACTGGCACAGGGGATGCAGGTATGAGGTGAAGAAATTACTCATGTCTACTTCAGTCTGTGGGACTACGTTTCATTTGACGCCATTGCAGTCAAATGTGTGGCTCCATAAATGCTCTCTGGGATTGTGGGAACCTCGGCCTGAGATTGCATGATGCTCCTGAAGCAGGATGGTGTTTCAAATGGAGAGAGAGCTGGGAAAAGAAGGAGTTGGGCAAATCTAAACCTAATATCGCTTGCCACTCCCAACCTCAGGAAACCGATGAACACGTTGGGCACCGTTTCCCCCCGGGGACAGCTCGGCTAGGTCACTGAATTTGCACCAGAGCAGCATTTGGCCCAAGGCGCTCACGTGCAGCACCGGTTAACGTGAGGTCAGGAGGCTGTGCAGCTGACTAGTCACCGCCGCCTCAGCCAGAGGACTCTCGTGTCTGCTCTGCTTGGAGTCAAAGTCCAACCTGCCCCTGGCGCTGAGGGAGAGTCGCTCTCATCAGGGCTCCCCTCCGCCGAGGAGCCGGGAAACCTCCTAGGGATGACGGAGCAGTCACGTAATGGGCTCGGCTCCTCTTCCGCTGGGAGAACCCACGGTGGCACGCAACCTGGAAAGAAGTAGGTTAATGCAAGCGAGGTTCTTTCTTCTGGATTTTGTTTTACTACCAAGAGTTATGTGTTTTGGCAGACTTTTTGATGAATAGGTCAGCAGGGTGTGGAAATGTATTCTAAAGCTTTCTGCATCCTTGCACATGCTCCTAGTTGCCGGGGGTTTTGCCTACTGCTTCACTTGGAAAGGTTTAAAAGAAAATGCAGATTGTAGGCAAAGGGCAGAGATAGGTTTTGGTAAATAGGTTTGGCACACATTTTAGCCATTCCCTTGTCATTTGTGAAACAACAGAAAGAACCCCCACTCAACTATATACAATGTGAAAACAGCGGTTTCTCTGTTTACAAATGGTAAAAAAACCCCCAAGCATCACAACCTGCTATACACACCTCCAGATAGCACACATAAATATCCGTAAAATTGTCTTTGCCTCAGAATGGGTACAGGGCAAGTATGGGAAGAATCTGGACTTTTTCACATCTTCCAAAACTAGTGTTGGTAACAAAAAGATATTGTTTCGTGTACTTCAAAGAGAGGGGAATGTTTCTGCACCCTGAGGTTTCAGAATCAAACGTCTACACCTGAAATCTGAGAAAAATCATATGAGCAAGAGACTAAGAAACTCTGTTCAGATGTAACCAGATACACCGTCCGACAGACTGGAATACTTAAAATCCTTTTTAACCAACAGCATGTCAAGACATGCCTGCTTCGGACACTGTTAAGACATCCAGCCCCCATATTTTGCATACCCTCCTAATTACATTCATATGTTTGGTTTCATATTTGACCTCTCTGTTGCAACAGAGTGCCAAGTAAAGCACTCCTCCTCTGCAGTCTGATGCAGGACTCAAGCCAGAGAGTGTGGGGGATTCACGATCTTCGTATCCCCCATATACACACTTAGAGTGACAGGCACCAATCAGCAGAACAACAAAATAGAAACATGCAAAAAATCCCCAATACAAATGTGCAGTTTTTAATTTAAAATCTGCTCTGGGCTTTTTCTCTTTGCCTTGTTTTTTGGAGCACTTTGGTGTTCACACCTCTAATGCTTCCTCCAAAATCTGGCACCTTACCAGCTAGCAGGTTTCAGCTTTTTTTTATTAGGATGAAAAGAATACATGCACAAAAATTGCATAATTTCAGAGTGAGAATATGACTCATCTGCGTTGATAGGACTTTTGTCACTGAATCCAGTAGGCTTAGGTTCCTAGTGAACCAGGAATGGCTTTACATGAAACCCCAGGCTGCACAAGGCGGTGGAAACACTGATCAGAAGACACCCGCTGCACAGACGAATTCACTGTTTTCTTCCCTCCCCTAAATTCTCTTAAGAAGCCAAAGCCAAAAATCACATCACTGTCAGCAAGAACAGGATTGGACCCTTTATAGATAGAGATGTGAAAACAGATAAATGTGCTTATTTGGCACTTAATGCATGTCCTTTAAAAGCATGTTATCAATGAGAAAAAGATCTGAAGGCACAGCGGTTCCTAAATGGTAGCCTTTGGACCATTGCTGTTGTTGTGGGGAAGGAAGCAGCCATGGTGACAGAAAGAGCAAAGTGTCCAGCAGCCTGCATGAGGATGGATTTCACCACCGGCCCTTTCTCCGGTGAGACACAAGAGTTTTTCCCGAGTGCAGTCATCAGGGCTGGATCACAGCCCCTCAGCATTCAGCACATCGGGATTTGCAGATTCAAGACAACGTGTCTGGGATTTTTTGGGTGAGCTGCACCTCCTGCGTGTTTTACTTGGGACAGTCGGGTTTAAATACCATGCTGCTCTGCTCTCCTTTAACACTGTTATTACAGCCTTGTTTGTGAAGCAAGAAGAGTAATCCTCATGTAAAAATAATAGTATTGCAGACCTAGACAGCAGATGGTGTTATTAAATACCTGGGCAAAGTCTAAGGTCATCATGCTCTAACAATTAACAAGATATATTGTCTATCACTTAATAGGTAACCTCCTAGTGTGGGATGTTCGCAAGGCCGAGCAGAGTGGCAAGTGGTATCTTGTCCAAGCCCAGATAACTCCTCCAGTTAAGCAAATATTTGGCAACCATTTTCTTGCCTAAATTTGTTGCTACCAACACGTCGGATAGAAATAATATGATTCCATTTAATCTCCTAAACGATCTCTTCTGTAACCAACTACATTAGGTTTTAACTAGACAGCAACAATTTGAGCACTTATTGATAGTTGCCTGGCATATAGGCTAATTTATAAGAGCACAGAGAGGCAAATCCTGGGGCGATGTAAATCATCATGAGTCTGCTGCAAGGTATGTCTCTGACCAGCTCTGGCAAGGTACTGGCTGGCTGAGGTGTGCTCGCCAGCCGGCTCCTGTTGGCCACAGAAGTCTTCAGCCATGGACCATGTTTCTTCTTACTCTCCTTCATGCTCTCCTAGGGAAAGCAAGCATTTATCTGCGTTGATAAAATTGAAATTGAACCTCAGTAATATGTGGCAGGGCTGTCCTCATTGCATGATCTAATAAAATTTTCAGGCAGAGCTCCCTCTAAGGATTAATCTTATGTCGTAACAACTGCACTTTATCAATGATTCCCTCGCTATTTGCCTAGCCTTCCCTGAACTTTACATCTCAGCTGATGGGTGACTATTTCACTTCTTTAATGGCATTCCTAGGTGCAAGAGCAACTTTGTGTATCTGCTCATTTACCCATTTTTTTTGCAGTTGTTTCATCCCTGTCAGTACCTCTTAGAGAGTTTGCCCAGGCCAGCTGCTCAGACCACCCCGTTAAGTGGCCTTTGCAGCCTTTGCAGCCTTTGCAGCCCAGCCTGGTTATATTTTTGCCTGGGCAGAGCAGCTAGCTCCTGTTGGCATGTCTGGTGTTCAGAGAGGCTGCTCCCCTGAAGTGCAGTCTGCCTTCTCTTCCACCATTGCCTTCTTTTAGAAGCATAGGCAAGGTCACCCGCATCGCTTTCAGGGATGTGGACCCCTCCATCATCTCTTCTGGGGCTTCAAGGAAGCCACGGTGGCTAAGCATTGCTCTGTAGGACAGATTC